TCCAAGCCATCCAGCCTGGCTTTGAGCACCTCCACGGACGTGGCACCAAACACAAACACACCAGAGCTCCAGGTAAGGTGCTCAGGGAAGCAGAAAAGGCCTGGGTTAATTTTCTCAGGTGGATTACAGATAAGTAGGGACAAAAAAGCCTCATGAGCTTCAGTCATTTGTTCACAAGAGCAGGAGACATCAGGACTGGAGTCCATCCAGCTGGGAACCTGCTTTGAATGACCTCTCGGGGTCAGCCTCAGAGATTGTGTAACAGTTTTGTTATTTTCTCTCTCTGTGGCACAATTTTAACAAACCTGTAATCACAGCACTAAAAGGTGGGAATGTGAGTCCAAATCCCCATCCTTAATTGCTTTGCCTGGTTCAGAGTGGGAACTTTTAATTCAAGTCTTCCACTCATTAGGAGGGTGTCTGAACCATCAGAAAACACAGTGATTTTTTTCTGGCTCACTAGCCATTAAAAAACTCACACAAAGTTGAAAAGGAACAGACTCAAATACTCACACAGATTATTTTATATTAAGGACGTTCAAACTTCTAAGCCCAACAACCCACATACCAAACATTTCTGTAAGATCAAAAGGCACATTTTCTGCTCTCTCCCTCACACAATCCCACACACATCTAAACTTCATCCTCTTACCAAACATCCTGGGCACTTTATTTTCAGACTGACTGCTCTCTAAAAATTATTTGGTTTTCCTTCCTAGCAGCTATATTAAAACCCATTATGAGATGAGCAATATCCAAGAGAGCCAGGGGATGGATCTCAAGTTGGGCTGCTCGAGACAGACACAGCTTGGAAGTGATTTTCAGTAATCCACATCCTGCAGTCGGGTTCTCTGAGGTTTGAGAAATCAAGCATTAGATGAAGCAGAATCTAAATTTCTATCCCTCCATACAAATGCTATAGTCAGACAGAAACAGATGAGAACCTAAAAATCCCATTTGTATTGGCTTGAAGACTGACAAGACATAAACAGCAATTTTTTCCAGCATCACCTTTGACTTACCATGGACAAGGGCAGATCTGATGGTTTCAGGTCCACAGCATCCAGAGATATTATTCAAACTCACCACCTTGTATTTTAAACCCACTGTGAATGCAGACTGCAAGCAACCACACACTCAGCAAAGGACATAACCTGCTGTTATGCTAATGTATATAAACTTTAATCTGTAATGGCTTCAAAATTAATTAAGTCCTTAAAATAAAATGACTTTACATTTCATTATAGATCTACTTCAATCTGCTGTATTAGAGAATAAGCAGACCTGTTAAATTTCTCAAGATATGGAATGGAACATCAAACTGAAATATCTCACCAACTCAGGACTAAATATCAGAGTTTAAGCAACTCTAGCAAAATAGGCAATGTTTTCAGGAGAAAAATAAAATTGTCTGCTGGTTGCTTATAAAGTTGGCTTGAACTACAGAAACCTTCCTAGTGCTCCTTCACAAAGTGTTTCGCAAATACCTTCCAAAAATACTCTCCTCATTAGGCCATAAAACAAGGAGCAGGACTGCAAGCTGACCATCCAAAGCAATTATTTGCTCTTTCACACCAGATTAAATGTTGAGTAACCATCACTTTCAATGGAATTACAATAGTCCAAGTGAGAAATGAGGACATAATTTAGTAGGCCATTTCCATTAACTTCCAGTTATTTGTGACAGAACAGGAGATGATCTATTTGGAGTCTATTAAGATTGCAAATAAACTCTATTTTTGCAAGTCAGAACAGAAGAGTTATTGGCTAATTTTGTGGTCTTTAGGAAAGAATAGATGATTTTGCTGTAGATCAGTTACTTACAGACCTACATTTTCTCCTGAAAGTATTTACTCTTGTATAACCTACTGCCTATAAGCTTCTTTTCATTCACCTTTCTCACTCCTCTTAGGACTATTCAATGGATGCTGAGGGGTCTGTAAAAACACTGCAACAGATCAAGTCAAATGTGAGGGAAATACAGACCCTGTAGCACCCACCACTCTCAAACCCACTTGTTTTAAGTGTACTCCAACTCTACCACGTGAGAAACCTGCAAGTCTGAAGAAGGCTCAGAAATGTTTCCAGACCCTTTACAAGCACCTGTGGAGATGGTCAAACATCCTCCTTGCAAACATGACAACATTCAGAACTTACCTGGGACCTCACAAACAGCAGCTAGCAGCACTAGAGAGCCCAGATGTGGAGGAAACAGCTGGAGTTCTGACTTCTTCACTAGACAGCTGGAGACTTCCCAATAAAAGTCAGTGCAGCTTTCCATCCCAGTTTTTTGCTGTTCCAGCTGCACATTGTGGTTCTCTGGGGAATGCAGTGGCTGAAGAACTCCTGGTAGCATGGTTTCAAAAAGCACTGCATATACCTGCTTTGTTTCTTATTGCCCTGGGATTAAATCACATGCTGAGCTTTACTTTGGCTAATAAGTCAAGGAGTAGAATCCAACAGCAAAGACTCAACTCAGAGTGCCATGATAAAGGAAAAAGCAAACTTTAGCCTATTCCAGTTTCCAAGAACAGGATAAAAACTTTGAGGTGGTGGTAGCCCCAATCAAAGCAGAGGGGAGAGACTTGAACAAAGAGAATTTAAATGCTTCACTCCAGTTGTCTGGGAAAAGACACAGAAGAGCCTGTTCTTTGCTCTGGTAATTTTTCTTCCAAAGGTTCTAATTTTTTGTTATTCACTATGGTAAAAAAATCCCATGTTTTGCCATATGAAATAAGTACACTTCTCTATCACCTACTTCTACCAATATATATAAAGATTGTATATTCTAAACACATCATTTGTCAACAGCTTGTAAATCAGGTTTATCCAAGTAGTAACATTAGCCATTAATTGTTTTAAACTTCACAAGTGAACACTCAAACAGGAAATATAATACATAAACAGGAACAAAGTCTTTAGCACAGCATTCACTAAAGTCCAGCCAAAGCCTGGCCAGTCTGTTAGAAACCATCAGCAGCAGCTCTAAACACAACTGCTGGTTAACAGTGAATGTTGTCCCAGGGATGTTTGTGCAGTTTGCTACTGAGCAATGGAACAGCATTTTTTCCCCTACTACCCTTTAGCAGTAATGTCTTGAAATCTAGTCTCCTTCCTCTCTAAATATTTTAGGAGTCCAAAACCTTACTGCAACTTCTGGTTGTACATTTTTCTCATGACTGAACCCAAATGTTCCAGTTCCTATTTGTGTGTCAGGAATATTCATGTGAACCCCCCCCCCTTTTATATTAGTAGTAAACAGACCCAAAAATGCAGCCTCTGTTTGGTCATTTTTGTATCTTAGTGCACGAGCTTGAGGAAGAAAGGTGAACCTGTCACAAAGTCCTGAAGTTGCTGTGCTGGAATCTGAGCAGGGAAAACCCAACTACTCATAGTTCAGGACCAGTTTGTTCCCTTTTCCAAAGCCCAGCTCTAGAGAAAGTTTTGTTTCACTGGGAGGGTGGGGAGGCCCTGGCAAAGGTACCCAGAGAAGCTGTGGCTGCCCCTGGATCCCTGGAAGTGTCCAAGGCCAGGTTGGATGGGCTTGGAGCAATCTGGGACAGTGCAAGGTGTCCCTGCCCATAGCAGGGGTGGCACTGGCTGAGCTTTAAGGTCCTTTCCACCCCAAACTATTCTATGAGGTTTTTGTCCATATTTACTGGCAAAAAAAAAATAAAAAAAAAAATCACATTACAACTCATGAGACATCTCCCATTTGTGGGGGCATTTTGAATCCCAAATGCATTACAGAATTATGTACCCCGGAGAAGGGAAGAAGAGTAGAAGAGACAGACAAACATTGAGAGAAAATGTGTAAAGTGGTATTATGTTATTAAAACATTACATTAGAAATAAACAGAACATAAAGCAAAAGTAGGTTTTAACCAGGTTTAACTTTTTTCTTTTTTTCTTTTTCTTTTTTTTTTTTTTTAAATTCAAACTGACCCAAAGCAAAAACTTACATTGCAAAGGAAGAACAAAATACATGATGGTATTGGTAACACAGCATTGCATGGAAGCTGCACTTGTGGGCAGGTTTTTTCCTCCAAACCAGCCCATCCTGGTAAAGATGCCACATCTTTTCTTTTGCCTCTGGGTATTTATCTGAAGAGTTTGTCCAGATGTGTTCTCCTATGATTGCCAACCAGAGCCAGAAAACCGAATTTTCCACGCTATTCCAAGGAAGCCAGAGTTATTCCAAGCATGAGTGATTGTGAATTTAAAAAAAAAAAAAAATAAAAGAAAACAAACCAAACCAAAACAAAAAACCCACTCAAGCGTTTCAAACTAACAAGTATTGTCTATAATGTAAATAGTTTAGAAATATGGTAATTAAATAATCTAAAAAACACTCTTACTCTGCTGTACATTTATAAACATAAATATTTACAAAAACTTTCTGCTTTGTTTTAAAGGATGAGGTTTGCAGTTTGTTAATGATCAGAGTCTTTTACTCATATTGATTCTTTGGTGTGTTTGCCAATTTTTTAAGGTTTATTAAAAGTGTTCAACCGTGAATTTTTAAGGTAACGGAACGAGGCTACATCACAAGTCTCTATTATGCACTTCTCCTTCCACATTCTAGTCCAAATGAAAAACAAAGGTCAGTTTGTCCTTCAAAGTATTTGTGCACAATATTGAAAATAATTAAAAAAAAGATCAAATTCCCCCTTATTGAAATTTGGGTAGGATTATCAATGAAAAATTCTACTTTAACTGCACTTGAGCACAAGGATCACCACAGATAGTGCACAGGACTATCAGCAGGTTCAGACCCTCGTGTGCTGTGGTGCTTTGCAAGAATTAAGGTGAGAAACCAGCTACAAGAGATGGCTTAGCATTGCAAAAAAGGGTGAGAGCTTCCCTCCACCCTGGGGAGAGGAGAGGATGAAAATTAATTTAAAAGAAAGGCTTTTTACTGGCCTGAAACATGTATGTGTTCCCTTTTAGATGTCAGTTACTTAAAAGAAATAACCAAAAAACAAACCTCAAACAATAAATAATGGAATTACACATTTCTTCATTAAATAGCATTCTTGTTACCAACAAAGTCTTCCATAATTTTCTTCAGTCACAGCAACAGACAGAACAAATAATTTGCCTCAATATAGATTGCAACTAAAATATACTCTAGATTACCTTAGAAAATATTACTGTAAAAATTCACTGGGGAAGGACATTGGTTTAGACCAACTTACAAGTGTAGTGAACAATACTAAGTCTCTTTTATTTTTGTTTTATTTTTTTTTTAAAGAAAACAGTTTTAAGATTCTGATTTCCTGTCAGAAAATGGAAGATTGGTGTTCAAACCTGCCAGTCTGCCCTGTCTCAGCACTGGAGAGCTCAAAGATTGGAATGGCTGATCTTCCCTCCACAGGGGCCAAGAATACTCGAGTTCCTGCTCACACCCCACAGCTTGTCCCTACTCCACAGATACAACCAGGAGGAAGCACTACAAGCTCTACAACCCAGTGCAGGGTGTTAGGTTGGACTTGCTCACTCACACTGCTGAGATGTGAACTTTTGGTCACTGCTCCAGCAGCTGGACTTGAACCGGTACAAGCTGGAGATAAAAAAGGTTCAACACCCCATTCCCAAGCCTCTGAGCCATGAATCTCCAAAATCCCTTATTGTTTGGAAACCTGATGCAATGCCAGGCACAATAGGGACAGATAATCCTCCTTGCTTGCCATGGTTCCGGTGCATCCATTAGCAGTGATAAGGTTCATTCTCAGGGAGCTGCAGTCCAGGCTTATCAAATATTAAAAGGAACTAACAGAGTTAAATAATATGAATTTACCTGCCTTACCTTGCTTTTCCTATTTTTAATACTAAGTATTCTGAAAGTGACAGTGTGAAACTTAAAAATCCATCATCATTCCTTTCATCTCTCACTTCAGTTGGTGCAAAAGCACTCCTACTATCAGAGGGGCTCTTTTGGAGCCAGGCAGATGCCAAAATAAAAGTAGAGAACACTGGCAAGAATCTTATGCTGAGTCTGTAATGCCTTGAAAATAAAGAGAGGGAAACAACTGAACATTTTGGCCCAATCTTTTGATCAAGAAATTAATTTTTTCCTATGATCAGAAACAAAACTCTGCAACAGATCTTTTAATACCTGGTTTGAAAGACACATTCAGTAGCCAGATTTCAGCACTCCTCTCAGTTTCTGCTTTCAGATTAATTGCAAAATTTGAACTTTCAATGTCAGTGGGGCTTTTCTTCTTAGTAACTTATGTGCACTTCCCACTCTCTAACCTGAAAAAACCTGAATTTCAGAGCAATCAAAACAGCCCCTGTCCCTCACACTGGTTTTTAAACAAAATGGTTTGAACAATTTACTTTTTTTTTTTCTTCAAAGTGGACACAATTTGGCTGAGAACCCGTAGACAAAATTTCAATTGAAAGTGAAATAAAGCAGGTAATACATTCATGAAATTCAGGGAGTAATAATGAACAGCAATTGCTGCATCATTGCTGTAATGCCACATCAACACTACAGTGAGGCAGCAGCTCCTGCTCTCACAAATAATGCACTGAACCTAAATAAGGAATAGTGGGGGAATCACACATCAAGGGAAAATACAGAGATTATTGCACAGGAGGCACTGAATGAGCAACAGAATACATTGGCTTCAAAAAAATCTAAATTTGTTTCCTCTCAAGTTAATGTAAAAAATACTGAGACTTTGCCTCTTAGTCACCCTAAGACAGCCTCTCTGTAGTGTACTGTCACTGGTAAAAACAGACTTACAAACAGCCCATTCAACAGGGAATGTTGGGAAAGGGCCTGAATTTTCTGGGCATCCCAACTACAGTAATTAGGAAAAGAAAAATACCAAAACCCCACCCCCCAAAAAACCAATGTATAGACCCCTCAAATTGAACAAGGTAACTGCATTTTTTTTTCTCAATTTCCAATTATATTCATCCAGTACCCAAGGAAAAGTTGATTATCTCCTCTTCCCTCTGTCCTGCAAAAACAAACACCTGGCAGAGCCAGAGGTCCTAACAAACAGGGCTCTGGAGATTTATCTGTATCCTTTTGCAGGACTGGTGCCTTGATTTCCAAACTTTTCTATTTTTGTATCATTGCTCAGCATGCCAACTCAAACCAGCCACTTCCCTCGAGGGGCTGCCTTCCATCTCCCCAGCAAGTCATAATGTGAAAACAAACAGAAAACCAACAGCAATTTTGAAAATGCAATATTGTATAGAAAGCTTGGACCTTGTAAACTTGGACCAAGAAACCAAAAATTAAGACCTTCTAGCATGTGGTATAAAAAACCCAAGGAAGTGTATACCTGCCTTCTGACTTCACAGAAAAATCAGAATTTGCATAGGATATACTTTGTGCAAGGCAACAAGCCTCTTCAGTATCTGGAATAGAACTAAACTTGCTCAGAGTTCCTCTCTTCATGGGTATCAGATATCATCAAATTTGTGTTTTAAGTAGTCTTTCATGACCTTGGCAATGGGTAGTTCATCAAGCAGTTTGAGGTTTTGAAGGCCTATACACTGACGGATTTTAATTCGGCATAGATCTTGCAAGTTTCTGGGCTGTCCTGAAAAGACAAAAGGAACACATAAAAATAAAATGATCACATTTTTAAATGTATTTTAAGACATCATTTACTCTGCAAAATGTCAGGGGTTTGCTGTTTCCTAAGAGGGAGAGGGAAGGGAAAAATTACAAGAGAATTACAAGTTAATACCTTTTTAATGAACTCACTGAAATCAAGGGATGAATCCTAAAAACATTTGTACAAGCACATAATTTTACTGATGCCACTGTAAAATGATTTCACCCATGTGAGGATTCCCACCAGGTGGCAACATATGCTTATGCATTACAGGATAGCAGAACTCCTCCATTTAACTTTTTGTGGATTTTTTTCCTATTCTTGGGGGAAAAAAACCCCTCAGTCTTGCTTTTCTTTCAAACAATGAGACAGAAACTTCTAAGTTCAGCTGTAACAGGACTAGGAAGTTTCCTTAGTGAGGATTTATAGAAGTTATTCCAGGATCCTGTGGCAGAGTTAAAGATTGGGTTTTTCTTTCCCTTCTAATGAAAAGATAAAGCCTCAGGTTTGGATGCAGCCAAATCCTCATCAAACAGAAAGGGATGAAAATGTGAATTAACCACTGTCCACGGAGGAAAAGTTTTACTGACATCACAAAAACTTCAGCATTCCTGGCAAGGATTTTCCAAAACAATAAATTCTCTTTCAAGCTCATTCTTACCAGGAAACTACTCAAAATCAAACACCTGGAGAAACAGTTGGGGTTTGGTCCCTCTATCCAAAATAATCTCAGAAAATTTAATCAAGTCTTGTATCTGAATGCACCCAGCAATGGATCCCAAGGAAGAAAGAAAGAAAAAAAGAGCAGAACAACAGACATTGAGAAATCCTGCCCCAATAAACCCTTCTTGCTTTCAGCACTGGTGCCTTTGGGCCTTCCTAGCCCAGAGATTGCACACAGATCTATGTCTTTAATAGCTGTGAATAGCTTGCCCTTTGTAAATCTGTCTAGTGTTTTTTGAACCCATTCATACTTTCAGTATCCAAAACATCCTGTGGCAACAAATTTCACAATATAATTAGGCGTTGGCTGGAAAACTACAAAGTAATTTTATTTATTTTAGATCTGCTTCCTGATGGCTTTGTTGCATGCTTGCCATTCTTTGAGTTACAAGGAAAATAATGAATAATTGTTCCCACGCCAGTCATGATTTTACATACCTTTATATAAACCTCCATCCTCCACTCATGCTCAGTACCTCTCCCCAAAGCTGAAAACTCCAGCTAATAACCCCCAACATGGGAACCACTCCAAACCTCTGAACAAACTGCCTGCCTTTGTGCTTTTTCCTCATTCTGCTACAGCTTTTTTGGAGCTATTCCAGTAACACATCAAAGCTGTGCTAATCAATATTTTGATCATCGACTTAACTGTGTAAGCCTCTTTTTCTTTTTTTTTTTTCCCTCCAAGCCAAGACTTGGTTATGGGACCTGATGACTGTCAAATTCAAAATACTCAGCACCCTGAACAATGTAGGTGCTTCTGTTGGTATCTATAGAAATGGGCTGACAGACAGGTAGGCATTTTTAGACACTGGGATTTATCTTAAGCACTAAAATTATCCAGGGCAAGCCAGCAGAAGTAATGCATGAAAATAGTCAGTCTGCTTTTAAAGAAATTGGGTTTGAAATTAAAAAAACATGAAAATTTGAGTTTCCTTTATGTAAGTTGAAAATACTTTTATTATACTTATGACCATCTAAATGTCAATCTATTTTTAGTTAAAGCCTTCATCCATGACTTAGAACACAGACCAATGGTTACTTTGTCCACCAGTGGTTTCTTCCTGGCAATTTTTTTTTCCACCAGAAGGAAAGAATTTAGGCAACTCAGGTAACAGCAGAATGTTCAAACTTCAGGGAAAGGAAAGTTACTTTGGTAAGAAACCAAGCAATCTTAATGGTGATAAAGAAATAGTTCTGATGCTTTAAAATAGGGTTCAGGAAAGATGCACTGCTTCAGAAATTCACTGAAAATAGCTGCATTAGAAATAATAAAGGACAAAAGGTCCTTGTGTATTTTCTGTAGCAGAATACACAATAAATCAGCTATGAGACACTGATTTCTGGTTTCAGAAATAAATGCCTTTTAATTAACATCCTACGAGGTTTTTGAGAACATAAAGGAACAGACAACTTCAAATACCCAGAAGAAATTGGTCATCAGTTAATTCAAAAAGACCCGATTATCAAATGTATGACATTTTCCCCTGATAAGCCTAAAAAATATTTCCTGGGAATGTGTTAACAATGGACATTTCCAGTGTTAAGCACCAGTTACTACATCTAGTGGCTGCTGGTGTCTTAGGTCACGCCTTGCAAATTCCAGGGTTATTAATGCATTTGTGATTTATTAGAAACGGTGTCTGGAACACTTATTCATTCTTGGTTGCATCTGAATGAAAAAGAAAAAAAATAAAGGATTACAGACCCATGTCAGTGAACCTTAGTTTGGCAAATGAAAAATGTTATTAGTAACTTGGCAAAGTAAGACAAGTTAAATGATGAATAAAGTTCTCTTTCAAAACGATTAGGAAGTAGCAACTTTGGTTATATCCTGCATCACAAGTTTGGGAAGTTATTTAGGCAAATAAGCTGGAAAAGAAGAGAATTAAAAGAGAAAAGAAACAAAAAAACCTCACAAAACACGAAAGGTACTCTTGGCCTAATTACCACTATCATACAAAACGGCCACATAAAACTACTGATCACCTTAAAAACATCCAGCACATCCCTGAAGGGCCACCTTGCTGCTCTTATTCTGGATTTGCTCATGTGTTCACCAAATCATTACATACTGCACTCAATTTGTTTTGCAAGGCTTAAAGCAGTAATCAAATAAATTAGGAGTATTAATTACAGGAAAAAAACTGACAGAAAAGCTTCTTCCAAACAGAAGAAATATTAAGCATGAGCTGAAAGAATCGAGAGGAATTGCTTTTTGACTTTTTATATCTAGATGCAGCAGACTTCAGCATGCAGTATTAAAGCATTTTCCTAAACCAGTTCTTCAGCTGGTAACAAATTAAGTTTCTGAGCTTTCCCCCACTTAAATAATTATTTTACTTGAATGATGAAATGAGCCTTTTAAATTATTATTAAAAGATCAGCTTTTGCTGGTAAAGCAAAGGAAAATAAAAATGTGTTTTAACAGCAAGAAATTATTACAATTAATCTGAATTTCCACTCAAACCACCATTCTTTTTCTTTTTACAGTTTCAAGATTTTTCTGGTATGATATCTGGAAGTTTGCTGTTCTATCCCAGAGGCAGACAAAACTTCCATTTAGGATTTGCTACCTGGCCAAAGAACTCTGTTAAAAACTGTTAAAACTGCTCTGTGTTTATACCTGTGCCTTCCCTCTGCAGCCAATGCTCCCCAAGAAATAAAACACTAACTTACTCAGTAAGTCTCTATTTAAGGACCATTAAGGCATATTTGTGATACCTCTGACAATACTGTTTTTTTGGGGACTTTCATCCAGTACTGCAAAGCTGGAAAAGGGGAATCCCTACCCACTTCCTCCACTGCAGATACAGAACAAAAAACGACATGTAAAAACACAGTGCAAAAATCATGAATTGACCTTTCTGTTACCCAAGAGTAAACTTGGGAATAACTGAAATTAATACATTGTAGGCTGCAAGAAGATCCCCTCTGATGTATTGTTCTAACTACTAAAAGAAAAGTACTTTTAAAGCAAACAATTAGTGTCATTGGTTTGAAGTGGACAGGCTGTTTCTGAAGAAATTTAAAAAATGAAAAATAACATCAGTGACATATTTCAGAAGCCGCCCACAGTTTTCTCTACAATATTAATGCATCTCTCTAAAAAACCTTAGAGTGGTATTTCTCAAACTGAGCCTCTGCCTCTCCTGGGAGTTCTGAAAGGCTGAAAACAGTAGCAAGAAACCATTTGGTAATTTCTTTTTAGCTACAAAGAGAACTTAAAAATAAAAATCTTCTGAAACATTTTATAAAGTATGTTGAAACCAGGCTGATGTATGCTGGCAACAGCTCAGTTCCTCTAGAATATCAGGAAAAGTATTTATTTCTGCAGCAAACCCTTAAATCCATCCCTTATTTCACAGCAGTGAAGGAATGCAGCTACTGCCAGCAATTAAACTGAGTTCTGAATTTGCTGGCTTTTTTAAGGAAGGGGGGAAATAAAAAAGATAATTGAATTTATCCACTGGAAACTCACACCCACCAGGCATAAAAAACACTGGGGAGGATGCACAAAAGCAGGATCACAGGGAAAGGATGGGATCACCCAGGAAGTGACTGAGCCTGAGCCCAACGGGAATTCGGCTGCTCAGAGCAATAGGGCTGAAGGTTAGGAAATGCACTGCCTTGTACTCTGTAAAAAAACAACAGCAGGATAACTGGAGAGGATATCTGTTTTTTCCAGCATTCAAAATGTCAGAAAAAGCTAATATCAAAAATCGACAGGTCTAAAATATTAACAGACATGCAGGGATGAGTGTAGAATTAGAGTGTTCATTGAGAGTCAAAAAATCCCTCCAGCTCGACAGGACATTCAGAGCTTTTTAACTGGATATCACACAAGTTATTTTAAAAGTTCTAATTTAATTTTGTGTTCAGTATGCCTCTGCTAGAATGTCTGAGCCTGACATATGTTTTCATTGGTCTCTGAAAAATAATTCCCCCACAATGAGTTTTAGATGTCTATTAAATTTCAGCCTATCTGGCACAGAATTTATGTACTATTTTGGACTGAAAATTCCTATATGAAAAAGCAATATGTCAGTAAGGCTCAATGTTATACTTAACAGGTGTATTTAGCAATGAAATTAAGATTTGAATATACTTGCAAAGGTATTTAAAAAAAAAAATTGTGACATCTCTGTAAATTCAGTCTCACTGAAATTGCTATGGAAATGCAGCTAAGAATTTCAACACCATAATCTTTATCTATTTTTAGGAGACAGGAAGTAATATGCTCTGAACATCAAGACAGGCTTAAGATGCATTGTTATGTTATTTTAAAATTATTTTTGCAGAGTACAGCATAGGTGTACAAATGGGAATAGAGCATGGCTGTACCTTAAATGCCACATATAAAAATATAGTCTTCAATTTTATTTTTTTTAAAAATGCCTCTTAAAAAATTCTTTCAAAGTAAATAACTGTATATAGCTACACAATGTGATTCAATTACTTAATATAGTCAACTGTAGAGTAGAAAACTATACAATAATTCCCTTAGCCCAGTTCCCTGTGTAACTGGATGACAAAGCAGACCTGAATCATCACTGCAAGACTTCCAGCAGCACTCAAGTAAAGCCTGAGATTCCATTAAAGATCTTCTACATTATTACAAACATGAAAATACCATTTCCTTTGCAACTATCCATGAAATAAAATATGTAAAGATCTACTTAATTCACTATGACATTTCTGCATTCATAAAAGTTAAAACTCTATGGAGAGAAACTTTAAAAATCTTTTTCCAGTTAAAAAAAATTCTAGTGAAAAGTTATCTTGATTTAGCCAACGGATAGAAGTTCTGTTCAGGAAACCCTTCTACATCTTTTGTCTCTATCTCAGTTATTCTGCACATTTACAGTGCAATACAAATTTAAACACAAAATTACACTATCTAGTCAAATCCAAAGATCTGCCCTTTGAAAAATGAAAAAAAAAAAGGAATGCAGCTGAAACATTCCTAGTTAAATTCACTTGGGTGACCTTTAGATGTTGTTCCACAACTGAACTGAGTTCTCTGATACCTTTTGATACCACACCAGGCACAGAACACTGCTCTGGGCACATCCTTTCCTGAGCTCTCTGCACCCACAGGGACCAGCAGCTCCCCACGGCCTCTCCTGCTCCTGAGCTGAACAGATTCAATTAAAGGAGGGCTACGGGGAGGGGGAAGTTTCCAGGCTTTTAAAAAATTCCTTCCTTTAAAGATCCTAATTGAAATTTCTAGTATCTTGAAGTTTATTTAAGCCCTTATCTATTTTTCTAACGCTTGCATTTTTTCTACCTTCTACATTCCTATTATAAGTCTTAATATTCTCAAATCCCATTCAACTTCAAAAGAAATAATTTCATCCAGGGCTGTGATTGCACACTAATTTTATAAATATATACACTACCAATAAAAGTGTCTATGTATCTCTATCTTCATATATCTCTATTTTAATTTTCATTAGTGCATTCCAAGCTTAACACATTAACACTCCTGAAGAGGCAGGTTCAGACCATGTGAAAATTGAAACATTTACACTGCTCCAAACCAATTCTTTATCAAATGATCTTAAGTACTATGGTGGCTGCCAATAAATGTTTTTTGAAATAGGAAAGTAAACACAGAGAAGGATAAGGAAGGTGATTAATAAAATCATTGAGCAGTTTTCATCTTTAATATTTTTTTTTCCCCAGGGAGACTTTGCTTATTTTTGTGTTGTAAAAAATAGAGAGGGAGAAAAAGAAAAACACACAAGTCTGAACACCAAGTCAACAGCAGACTCATGGTCAAAAACTCTGTTCCTAACTTCCAGCTTTGTGCTTAAATACTGAAAGACAACTATAGAATAACTTCCTCTTGGAATTATTCTAGGAGCAAAGGAATCTCTACCTGTAACCAGGAAGAATATCAGACCTTCAGGGTCAAACCCCAAAATCCAATATCTTCTTGCAGACTCTCAGGGCCAATACTGAGTATTTCTGAGAGCTTGGTTTCTTGCCTGTTATTCCCAACCGGGGACCTGGGCTAAAGGCTGCCATTATTACCGATTACAATACCTACCAAAACAAAAAGAAATTCACAAATGATGTTTTCTGAGAAACTGAAACTGTACAAATGTTTTCCAAGTATTAAAAAAAAAAAAAAAGTTACTAATATCTTACATGTAGAGTACTAAATAGCATCCCATTTGTATGCAGCATGCAACTGCTTTCACTTGAAGACACAGAGTGGTTTGATAACTTTGGTAACTTATATCTATTAATCTTTAGCCTTAAAAATGTTAATCTACTGTAAAAATAAAAACTATTTCCTGTTTTACTATCAAATATACTCGTCAAAATTTCAGGTGCAGATATAAAACTTACAGCTATGGATTTCTATATAAAGCATTTAGTATAAAGTTCAAATAGACTGAAATTCCCATTAAGCCCCAAAAACAAGGCACTGTTGCCTACCTCAGAAGAGTTTCAGGAATAATTCCAATAGAAGAATTGTCCAAAAAATTTAAAATTTTTTTTCTTAGAACATACATATTGCAGTAGACTCATAAAGAAGATTCTTCCCCAAAGTGCTACAGCACGAGATCTCAACAATTCCCTTTACAGTGAGACTTAACTGGGAACTCCACTATCAAAATGCCAGCTTGCTCTTTATCCATTTCATCTCTTATACAGCATCTTATTAAAGTAATTATTCATGAAAAGCAGGGAAGACAGTGTTTGGATATTTATAAAAAGGGCAGCAGAGTTTGTTTACAGTGGATTGTAAACATACATTGATAATTATTTTGCTCAGAAGCACGGAGCTGAAGTGTTTTTGTCAGCACTGCTTTCCCAGTTCTCCCTCTCACAGCACAAAACTGGGATAGTTCCAACACTGTTACACTGGCCACAAATTAAAGCTAGCAGGATTTACTCCTCAATTAACATTAAACCCTTAAGGTATGGAAACTGCAAGCCGAAATTTACAGTACCTGTTTCCATTGGTCTTTAGACACTGAGGAAACAGGGGAGCAGCCTAAGCTTTCATGCTTACTGATACATCCTAAGACTGAAAAACTGCAAGTCTGGATATTATATCATCTCCTAAAATCCCTGACACTGCAACTATATAGTGAGAGGCTTCCAAAAAGGAAACCAGAAAGAAATGTGTTTGAACATTAAGCAGCAGTCAAATTAAACCAAAATTGCTTAACTGCTTGTATTTCTTATCATCAACTTCCACCTCTCCAGAAATTCTCTTTCAATTTCAGATATGAACAAAAACAACACTACAAATCATGTAGAAAAAGAGAAGAAATTCCAAATGCTTATTTGTGTCTACTGACAACAGATCTCAGCTGATTCGCTTCCAGCCCACACTGACTTTCAGTTTCTTTACAGAGCATATAGGTTATTTAATCCTCATTAAAAAATTACCACATTCAAAAAAAATAAAAGGTGTTACAGAGGACAAAAAAAGGATATATGAAATACCCCATCCTCTGTGGCACAGAGATCATTCTAGTTGGATGATAATTTACCAGGCTATCTTAACATGTTTGAATTGGGAAACTCTGCTAAATGCTTATCAGCAATTCCTAAATGCTTTAGGCAATACCAGGATTATGAAACATTAGAACATCATTCCATGTTGAGAGAGGAAAACTTTCAGTAGATCTAGTACACCAAAAACTGGTAATCAAAAGTGATCCAGGTATTAGGAGCCCAATACTTTTTCTAAATATCAGAAGTCAGGATGAGTTAAAACCTCTCGTATTTCAAAGACATCAACAAAATCAAATCAAAGCTACACAGCACATGAAACCCCTTCAAATTGCAGGAATGAACTGTGGCATTTTGTTGTCTGGTTTAGGGGAGGGAAGGAGGGAACGTGGGAGAACACAAAACAGCCAAAGCTCTTTTCTGCCCTAGCTGTAAGCGCAGATGAAAAAGCCATCAACCGCCAAGGATTTGCATGGCAATAAAAAAGCAAAACAAAAGACACTAAAAAGCCTCTAAACAAACAACAAAACCAAACTCAAAAATCTTACGTGCTAAGGCCAGAAATAAAACGAGATTTTACAGCTCACTCTTAAAATGAATGCTTCCCGTAGATGTTTAAACAAAACTAATTTAAACGAAGTACACTTAACATCAGCACCTTTGCCATGTAAGAGATTCCCAGCATCACAATCCCTTCACCTTCCCAGAAATTTTCTAGTGCATTTAAATAGTGTCAAGGGGCAGAGAGGAAGCATTTTTTTTTTTTTCTGGGGCTAAATTCAAAGAAGGCTTTTAGAGGACATTGTGTCCTGTGATTAACTTCTCTTACATACATACTTGTCACTTCTTGTAAGAAATCCAGACAGGGTCGGCTACTTCCAGAAATTCTTATTGAAACAGCCAGTGGGGTCTGTCCTTCATAGTTCCTTGTGTTAGTGTCTGCTCCGTAATTATACAACATTTGTGCACAAAGCACATCATCTCTAAGAGCAGACAAGTGTAAGGGTGTCTGTCCATCTTCCAAGCGCCCCAAGTTTGTATCGGCCCCTCTCTGGAGGAACATTCGGCAGTACGAGTGATTGCTTTTGATCACAGCGTATCGTAACAGGAAACCATTCTGAATGTCGATGTTGGCATTGTGGTCCAGGAGGATTTTCACACAGCTTGACCTCTCCCGGATAATGGCCAGCTGGAGTGGTGTAGTACCTTTATCACTGAGTGGATCAACCTCAGCCTTGAACTCCAGGAGCAGCCTGACAAAGGAGTCTCTGCCGTAGTGAGCAGCGACGTGCAGGGGAGTCCAGCCGTCGTTGCTCTTGGCATTGATAATGTCACTCCTGTAGTCGGATTCCAGCATCAGGCGCGCGATCCTCGCCCGGCCATGCATGGCTGCGTAATGCAGAGCAGTGAAGCCTCCAATTAAGTCCTTAACTGTGGGATCAGCTGAAGTTAAAATAAAAATTTAAAAAGAATTAGATGGCGTTAAGGTAATCCGGTGCTAAAAAAGAAAAAATAAATTAAAAAAAAAAAAAAAAAAAAAAAAAAAAAAAAAAAAAAATCAAACAGTAATTGCTAGTCTTTCCAGGCATAGCATGACAGGATTTTTTGTACTTCAAGCTAATTCTTGCTTTCATGAACATGCTATTTTTAAGACAAAGTTAAAATTGTATTTTAGAACGAGTTACAAAAAAATAATTTCTTTCACATACATATGTTTCCATTTGACAAATACTTTTCCACATCTTTCTAGCACTCTCAGGAATTAATTACTAATTACTCAAATCTCTCTGTCCATCCAGTTTTCCCCCAGCTCTACAATATTACATTTCTTTCTCAATGTTCAACTTTTTATTTTCCCTTGTGTTGGTTCTTGGTCTTAAAAAGAAGCATGTGTAGAAACATCTGCTGTCCCAAATTGCGGATGTTTTGTGGTCTGGCAGCATTGTATTGTTTTTAGGGTGTAATGCTGTATTAGGTAAAATGTTTCTCTGTGGTCTGCAGGATTTCCAAAGCATGTAGGGTATATGTTATTTTAGATTATCTTGATAAAATCTCTTTTCATAGATGATGAATTTGTTTAGAATCTGTTCTGAATTTGTAGTTTCACAAAAATTTAAGAATGTAAAAAACCCACTTCTGAAATTAGTCAGATAAACTGTTAGTGCAGAGTACAGGTAATTACAGATTTATTTCCCCTTCACACAGCACAAACACTCAGACTGATTTATTAATTTAAAAATTAAAATAATCCAATCAATTTGCCTAATTTCCTCAGGACACCCAAACTTGTTTAGCAAATGACTAATTAATTACCCAAGGCAAGGTGCCATTTCTCAGCTAGAGAACAAGCCAGGCTCTGAGGTTTCTCCTTCCACCACTCATGGGTGCTGCTGTTGGACACTAAAAGGTACAAACTACAGTGCAGAACTTTGAAAACTTTCCCAACCTAAGTTAGATACCATCTGCACTAGAAGACCTGCTCTAAGTTAAGTTCAAAATACAATATTAATTGCAGGCTACCCTAGACTGAACACACCTGAACACACAAAGGTGCAAACACAAAACAGGAATAAGCTTCTCAACCCACTGTGATCATAACCAGCTAAAACCAAGACAGATATTATACCAAAATGAAAAGACTGGAAGGAAGGAGTAGAGAATACAGCTGCAAAGATAATCCACAACTTTAAGGATATTTCTAAATGGAAAGAGAAGATAGAGAGGAAGGAAACAAATGAACTGACAAAAAAAAACCCAACATACAAATTAATGCAGCCTGGCTACACAGAAAAATCAGATGTGAAATAAGATGTGAGAACTGCCTCCAGTGCACAGAATAGAAATAAACACAGAAATAAGGGGTGTATTAAGGAAAGTTTAGTTCCTTGCTACTGACAGCTTTCCTCATCTCCTGTGAAAAGCAGAAGTTTCAGTGCCCTGAAAAGTCACACTAACCTGAGCTAAAGGAATGAATGAAGCACCCACAGCCCAGCAGGAAAATGCAGCCAGTGACTGAATGGGTGATTCCTAACCTGCACTGTGATCATGTCCAAAATGCAGCAAAGAATCAGCACAACCCACACAAAGATAATATTTCAAAGTGATGCTGCTCCCAGGGTCTCTTTCTTCACTCTGCTCAGACTGTTCTACACTGACTTCTGTGTGGTGATAAATAAAGTGGGTAACAGGCATGAGAACAGGCAGAGGGATGTTACAATGTGAAGGGCAGAACTGGGGAGGAAAACGGACATAAATGGGAAGGAGACAGCAGCAGGAAGAGTCTTTCTCCACCAAAAGAGATTTTTAAAAGAAATAATGTTTGAGTTGAACCTTCTCTCTCCCATACTGCATAAGGCACGTAAGGCATCGTTTCTACCCCAAATGAGGTGCAGGTCACTGCCACAAGCCTTTTTAATCAGTGCCATTTCCAAATTCAGGCAGATATGACCCAACTTTTACATGTGCACCTATATGCACTTTTATACTCATTGCTGTAATCCAAACCCAACAACTTCCTTGCAACATAAGGATGCTTTTTACCTATAGTTTTAAGCACCTTTCCACACCTTCCTTACTCCCAAAATGTCATTCCTTTTGACCACGAAAGTGAATAAAAAAATTACTAAGTCATGTAAGAGAAGGTTCTTAAGAAGGATAGGAAAAAAACCCTCACGGTTGGGCAACCAAGCAACACAAACAACCAACCTTTCCATAACAAACCCCTCAGAAAAACCTCGTGAAAATATCCTGTAATTCCCATTAAGATTATGGATTTCTAGTGAGCCAACAGTCTGCCTGCGGATTAGAGAAACAATTTTAACGGGATCAAAACGTCTGTTGCTATTCCATCAATGTCCTGCTGCCACCTCCTGGAAAACTTCCGAATTTCACAAGAGCTTTTAGCAGAGGCTGGACCTGCATGAAGTTGCAAACAAATTCCATCTACTCAATCCCTGTCTTAGTAAAAGTAACTCCCCAAGGCTGATGGTGCCTAAAGAACTTGAGCTGTTGTGGGAGTTTTTCCTGATTTTTCTAGAATTTTCAGTATTGGTATCATGCTGTAAAGCAGCTCTCTCCCCCTGGAAAATGAGCAAGGTAAAAATGGATTGGGAATGACTCTCAGATTACCTTTTAGAATCTGCAGAGATGTAAAAATTACCTGGCAGTTTTAGCTAGAAAAGGATCAAGCCAGTACTTGCCAGCAGATCTCTATCTCATCTCCATCCTGACTGTCAAACAGTTCTTTCATTCCAAGATTCCCATTAATGTGGAGAGAGCAGAATGTAGAAACATGAACAACTGCACTTGGTCACTTTTAATGTTCTTAAATGTAAAACCAAATATAATGGCAGAAACTTGGAACAGCTTGTCAAGGGTACCAATTACTGCAATCAAATTCACTCGAGATGGAAAATCTGTACCAATGAATGATACTGAGATTATTTTATTTCATGTGGAAGTTGGGCACCTAAGCTAGTTATTTAAAGTCCACTGTTAATAAAACTCTTTCTAATACTGTAATCTAGAGGATATATAGATTCATAAATAAAAGACCCATATTTCAGAGTTTCAATTTACAGCTCAGTGGGACAGTTTCCTTTTTCCTTGACACCTTCCTTAGGTCATTCTATCACAGTAATTTGGGAAGCCAAGAAAGCAATGCTTAAGCAATGCTTCTGGCTTTATTGAGTACTTCTATTATTTCAAGCTTATTTCCCTCAGCTAGGGCTTAATTCTGACCACAAGGTTTAGAAGCATGGCTACATGCAGCTTCTGTTTTGAATTTCCTAAGATAACATTGATACAGAAGATGTCCAGGAAAGCATTACTGCTCAGAGACAGACACCCTTTAGGAGCTTAGGGGGGGGTGAGCATTTGGCATTTTCTAGATCCTCCTGGATTCTGCTTGACCTTACTAAAATTTAGATACCTTGAAGCCAAGACTAAAAATAAATAAATACGGCTGCTTGGCTACTTTCTCTTACTATTTCATTTCTAGGAGCTTTAGTGACTTATTTCTTCATTTTAATATGAGTAACCAGAAACTGCTGTGTTAATACTGAGAAGGTATCACCAAGGGACAGCAAAGTAGACACTTTCAAGATTTTAGTTTGTTGCAACATTAATAGTGGTGGCTGGAAATTAATAAAATATATTTCTTGTCCAGTTTTGGATTGTCTGTCTCTGTATACCATATTAAAATTTTACAAAATACACTGAAGGGAAAAAAGGCTTGTTACACAGAAATCCAAGATTACTAAAAACTACACTCCCTGTTTTGGTGTTGATTTGTGACTCCAGATTGTTTTTATGGGTGGGAAGAGATGACTTTATAGAATCTTCACCTTAATAAGATGAGACAAGTACACTAAGAAAGTCAAATTCACTATTTCTTATGAAAACTAAGTTTCTCCACAGTTATGATGAACCTTCTGCATTTCAAAGTTGCTAAATAATATTTATCTAACTTATCCCCTCTGTGTCTAGTTGGTATTTCTGCTGGCTTCATCCTTTAGTGTGGACTGTTTTTTCTGCGTTTTCCCCATCTATCTATGCCTCCTTCCTCAGCAGATAATAAAAAGCTTCCTGCTGTTCCACCACCTCCACTCAAATCACTCAATCTGCATGCACAACACCATCCTCTGGCTCTTTTCTTTGCTGGTGAGCAGTGATGGAAGAGAAAAAGCAAAAGCAGGAGGCGGACAGGTCATGACTCCCATAAGAATCTACTTTGTATTTCCAGGTCAGTGACCAGACTCCTTCTCAGCCTTTATTAGCCCAACTCACCCTCCATCCCACTAACAGGCTCTGCTGGGACCCTTCCAGCATCTCAGATCTGAGGCACAGCACTCTGCCCTCAACAACAGCCCACTGTGGTTTTCCCAGTCCTATTTCTCCCATGAACATATTCCCAGCTCCATCACCCCTTGAGACAGCCACAAGCACCACCAGCCACCCCTTCCTTCCCATCTCAATCCCCTCTTACCCTCAGAACTCCACAGACTCCCTCTCACCATCAATTTATTACCTACTGGTAATAGTTCAACATAGTATAGTATATATATCCACTACATATATAGTATAGTATTTACAAAATAGTATATTATATCATATAAAGAGCATAGTTCAATATTCTCTATTTTACCATAAGATTCAAAAGAGAAAAGGATTTTTTCCTTTACCCCAATATCTCTTCCTTTGCTCCATGGGGATTAAGCACCAGCAGCAAAACAATCCACTCCAGAGGGAGAAAGTAGAGACCATGTGAGGTAAGGTAGGCACAAACCTCTCCCTAATGAGGGTGGCATGATTAACTCAGCTTGTAAGAGTCAATTCATTTGCTGCTTAATAACTCATTTGTGACATTATGATGTGATAAATACTCATTATTTTTATGCCTCTGTTTGGAGGGAAAACGAGGAGAGGCACCAGGCAATGCCAATTTTCGGGAGCGAGGCTCAGCTGCAGGGAAGCTGCTGTGGATGACTAAAGCTCACACTATTTGTTACTCAACCTTCTCATCCTGGTGATTCAACTCTAAGCTGCCTCAGGACAAAGGTGTTTCATCACAGGCAATTTTCAGGAGGAATCACATTCAGCTGATACTTTGTATGGGAAAGAGTAACATCGAAAATAAAAACAAACGACTGCATCAGCAGCTATGTAATATGAAAATCTATATAATGAAAATACATAGGAATACAGAAGGGATTTGGGTTATTTTATAATCTTTAAACTCAGAGATAAAAAGTTAAAAGCAATGTATGTGACTTAAAGCCTTAAACTTTTGAATTATAAAAGTGAAGGCTTGAGATTATCTGCATATATTCCTTCTAAAAAGTAGCATTTAAAGTTATGTATTAGTTCAATTTAGTAGCTTTTTTTCCCCTTCCAAGAAGGCCAGGAGGGTTTGCCCTTTTTATGTGGTTACAATGTGTAGTAGCTGCATTCACAGAGTCCAGTTGCTCAGGCTGTATTTCACCACTGCTCTTCAGGAACAAATCACTGATTGTGCCACTACCACAACCTGTTAATGCCACTCCACTTCCAGCATGAGCCATACAGCTGACAAACCCAGTGACAAACACAAGGGGTCCATATGGCTCAGATACACAAAGCATCAGAAAGATCATTTCAGTTTCCTTGGGATTGAAAACCTCGGAATTCATTTGGTAAGAACAGTGCTAGAATAGAGGATGCTGTTCTTTAAGAGCACTGATCAGAATGTGGAGAACATCCACTGATTTCCTCTCCAGTACCACTTTAGAAGATTAGGATGATCCCTTTCTAAAATTTCAGGTGGCTTGGAAGATAATAAAGCAATGAGAAATTCTGACTACCACCTGAGGGATAATAATCATGACATACATGAGTATCACTTAAATCAAAAAAACTCAGTCCGTTCTTGAAATAAAGTTTCATTGTGGCTGGATGTAGGAGAGCTGTAAACTCATCTGGATGAGCTGACACTAAAGTTTTTGCACAAAGAAGACTGTTTTCATAAAGTTTAGCAGATTCTGTTAAAGCCTATATTAAACTTAGTCTTTTATGCAACTGGTTAACTCGCTTTAGAATTCTGAAACAAACTTCCCTAGGATTTCAATTTAAGGATCTGCCTTCCTCTAATAATACCCCCTAACAGAGAAGAAAAGCCTGTAGTGAGTGCTGTGAGCACATTTCATTTTATAATGAGTCCTTCTGCCCTATTTTCATCATGCTTATTCATTTCTTGAACAATTCCTAGGCAATGCTGGGGGAAAAAAAGTTATTAAGATATAAAACTAATCTATGATGTCATCCAGAGTATGCATCAGAAATAAACAGACATTAAGAACAAAAGAATCAAAAATACTCACAAAAGATAACCAGAAGTATTTTGCTATCTAATCAGTGCTGGAAAGCCCTGCAGTGGAAATTGGGATAGAAAGGTGTCAGATGAGTAGAAAGATTTTTCTCTGCGGGCAACTCACCTCCATGTTCCAGAAAAACACGGACACATCTCTCCTTGCCTCTCGCTGCAGAGAAATGAAGCAAGGTCCAGCCATTGGCATCGCGACCGTTTGGAGAATATCCCTGCTCCAGCATCTTGCGCACGGTGTGGACATCGCCGGCGGCCACGGCAGCCTGGATCTGCAACTCTTCCTGTAGCTCAGGGTTCCTCCTGCAGTGGTGGTGTAACATCCTAGCTGAGTCTGGCCTATACAGGAGCCTCATGAGCTCACACGAGTCACCTTCAAGCAATGGGAAGGAAGCAGGAGTAAGTTAGGATTGGGATCAGAAATGGGGTATGTAGGGAAAAAAGGACTGGTGAAATGCGATGCTAAGACTTCTCTGTGTATGTTGGGAAAAGTGATGTTACAGGGAGGATAAATCTCAAATGATCTCACTGTTATTAGCAAAATCATAGTACATGGTGACATCACTGAACTGCAAAAGAAAAGGACACTTGCACATAATAAATAGTAAATGTTTTCTTCAGAAATGACAGCATCAAACAGTAGTTCATAGTTAAAGCAACTGAGCTATGAGCAAAATGAAAAACCTCCAGAACCTACCATTCACTTCAAAATCACACTGTGGTTAATATCACTACCTCCAGAGACACTGGTTAAATGGATTATCCAAATAATGGAATGGATGAGCCAAACTGTTACAGGAACCACCACTGCACTGCTACAGTAACTGAACTATACTCTTTATTTTTCTAGAAATACATCCCTTGTAAGCTTCAGTGAAAATATCTTACCAATAGAATTCTGTGACCTACTGCATGTGAGTATTAGTAACACTAATGTTCAAATTGAAAACTCTAATTATCTGTTTTCCTTTTTCACCCTACTTTTTTTTTTTTTAATTAGAGTCTACTGTTTGTATTCTAGCTTGAGCACTTTTTAATTAGTACACACTTCTATGTACCAAAAATCAAATATAAGGATTATGAGACTCGAAAATACATTTAAGTGTAGTTACTATAGTCCTGGCAAACACCATGAGAACATATATCAGAATAATTCATTTTATAATTACCTTGATAGAGAATATGAGAGCTGGGCCAAAAGGTTATCTAAAATAGCCACTGCAAAAGAGCCTAGAAACAAGCACACATTGGGAAAGGGACAAGTACTGTGTACTCCATGATCTCTTTGAAAAGTACCATCTGCACTTCTAGTTGGGGGCAAGAAAATGAACAGGTATTTAAGGATTGTTCCCCAGTACACAAAGTTAAGTGATTGCATTTTCACATACATTGTGTATTCTATCACATAGTCCTAAAATGGAAAGGAATATCAGAAGAAAGAATAAAAGAAGGGTATGAGAAAGGTAATGCTGAGCAATAGGAGCCTCAGAAAATATTCAAACGTGGATGAGTATTAACACAGACCTAGAAGATTAAAAAGAGGAATGTATTTAAACTCCTGCAAAGTTAATCAAGATTGAAGTACAAAGAAAAATTCTAATGATGAAAATGAATTTTAAGCAAAACTTAAAATTTACAGGAATTTTTCGGTTTATTAGGATGTCAACCCACATCACCACCTAAACCTTCTTTTAGGTATCATAAAGACTTCCAGATCCTCATGATCCACAGGTCATTCAAAAGAAACTGCAGTCAGCTTCCCATATCCCACTGGACACTTGTTTTCCTGTCATCCAGGTATAACCACAGACAAGAGAAAAGTGAAAGCATCAATCACTGCCAACTTTGCAGACAAAGGCACAGAGTGTATTTGCTCTTCTACAACCCCCTCGTGACCATGGTAAAGAAGTTATTTATCTGCTTTTTGGAGAGATATAAACTCATAATTAACAGGTGCTCCAGTGACCCTACTTACCCTGCAAATATGGAAATCACACACAGCAAATGCCTGTCTTTGACATTTATAAATGCTTCAGCTTACCATGTATGGCAACAATCACTACTTCAGCATAGGGTTATTAAAGAAGACTTTTTAGCTCCATATGTTATACATGGCTTAGAAATTGGCTTTGTTTTGTTTTATAGTGTGAACTTCATTATCTGAGACTGAGAGGAAAGAGGATTTGCAAAGCAGCAACTGCCAACTCAATAGGTCAGCTTTTGCAGCATATTCCAAAAATCAAACTTGGTTAATCTGATGACAATGGAAGCATTTCTATTGACTCTAATAAGCTTTTGCTAAGCTCTTTTCTAAACTCCAATTAGCACTTCAGAACACGGTCACCTATAAGACAGTGAGCTTGACTTCATTCTGCATCACACCACTAACAGCACTGGTAATGAAATTCCAGCTGCAAGAGTAAGATCTTCCTTTGGATTTGCAGGTGAAAACTGACAGTAGAATCTAACTGATGATGAGTCATGCAAAACCCTTAAAAAATACTAATTCAGACTATGTCCCCTATAGCCCTAGATTCTGAATACCTACAAAAACAAGATATGAAAACTTTTTGTCAAATTGAGAGTATCTGATCAAAACTTAATGTAAACAAACTTTATGATGTCATTTTTACAGTCCTTTCTTGTAAAGGACCAATACTTGCAGGCCCTCACATGGTCCTGAAAATTAAGGTCAGGCTAGTTGCTCAAAATGCTACAGAAAGAGATGGGATGACTAAAGAGGTGAAGAGAAATGGGATTTCTCATTTGAGGGGCCAGCAGTATTCCCCCTGCAAATCTCTGTGAAGACAGTTGGTTGAGGAAAAGCAGAGCTCTCAGCTGCTGGGTATATTTGTAATGCAGCATTATAAAAAATTGGCATTGGCTCCATATGTTGCATGTGACTAGCAGAGCTTATTCAAATTAGCTGGTACTAAAGTACATAAGTACTAAAACACACAAAGCAGAAGACAAAGTCAGGCAGCTCCTTTTATCACTTGCACGGTTTCTGTAAATATCCACTCTTCCATCCCACCCCTATGGCAAGCAATGAAATTCAAATGACAAGAATACTTAACCATAACATTAAAGGTTTCAGGATAGTTTTAGGTACACACCAGCTTTGAAAACATTTTTACTTCTGCTCCATAGATCATTTAAGACTCCTGTTTGCAAAGCCCCATTTAAGACATCAATCTCTGAAGAGAAGGAGGACTACTGGAAGTAGCCCTTTGGCATTTAATATTTTATGTTTTGCAACTGTAATCAATCTCATTCAGAACTCAGCATGCATTTGGGTTGTTATATATTGGCTTTCTGCATGCAAGTAAAAAAACGAAAGGAAGCACAGGGGGGGAAAATATACCCATATATTCTTGGTTATAATGATTTTATAGTGCCATGAAAATGGAAGACAACAACAGTTACTTAATTGATTTTGCAAGTACAACAGGATAAACTCAATGTGGTCCTGAATTACCTTATGAGAGGTTGTTACTCTTTGATGGATGTCCCACTCTTCATTGTCTTCACTGTTCATAATCTTCTGTGCCCATGTGTGTCAAACAACCTGCTACCCCTTAAAAAAAGGTATTTCTTGTTAGTTGTAAAGAATAAAAGCGAGAGGTTTACTTACTTCTACTTTATTCTTGTGTGAGAATGCTACATTTTAATGCAGCTCTGTCAGAAAAGACACAAAGTGTGTTTTCTATTATTATCAAAGAGTCCTCCAGAGGTTGGGGTGGGCAGAGTTTGCTTCTGCCATATGAGGAAAAGTCTACAGAGAATATTTTATGGAAGACAAGAGAAACGAGGGATGTGCTTCCTCTCTGGAGTAAACCTTGAAGAAATGGTCTACACCCTTCTCTAATAATTTAGTGTATCTGCTCCTCCTGTATGGAACAAGAATGGATGCAAAGGTTACAGTAGGTATTTCTGCCTCACTGCTCAACATCTCCCTGTGGGAGTCAGATGCCAGGAAAAACATTCAGGCTCCATTTAGTTCTTCCCAAACTACTTTTGCGAGTTTTTTATTTGTTTGTGGGGTTTTTTTAAATTGTTGGTTTTGTATGGGGTTTGTTGTTTGTTTTCTGTTTTTTTTTAATCTCCATTCCCTCTCTGCTTCCCTAAGTAAAGAATAAAACCTTAGCCCATAGAGCATTGAGTTGTGTCCTTCAGCTGGATTTGCAGAGCCACCAGCCTGTCTCCTCTCCCTCATGTGACAGCTCAAGCTGGCACACGCTGTGTTTCACAAACAGGTAAAGCCACCTCTACAATACAAAAAAACCACCAGCTCAAAAATCTTTACCCTTTCCTTCATATGGAAAAACGACCCTCTTAGAATCGAGGTTTACCAAATGGCAGTCACAATCCCTGTGCAGATTCCTCCTTCAGACCAATCCCTCCTCATCCCCCCCTGTCACCTGCAGTTAATGGCATCAATCCCAGACCATTTCTCGTGTACTCATCACTGTTATTTCACTAATTCTTTGTACACCTTTATCTGACCTTTCATTTCCTTTGGCTGCAAACTTTTAGTGAAAGGCACCCTTATCTCATTTGAACACTGCAATAATATAACAAACAATAAAACCATTAAATACTTAATTGTACAGCTGATCACACAAACCCAACTGTGACTCGTTTCTTCTGCAAACGACTTGCACCACAACAGTTCCATGAACTCTGCAGCTCTTAGATTAAGTTGAAATTTCTGCCACTTAATGCAACACAAAATCATGCTTTTGCAATGAGAGCTCAAAGAGGAGGATGAAAAAAAAACCTTTTTATCCCTCTTATGCACATTTTCCAAGAGCTTTGCTTCCCAAGATAAAGCATACAAGGTCTTCAGATATGCTTACAGCCCTGCACAAAACTGCACTGCCATGACCTAATTTGATCACATTTCTAGCCTTGTTTTTTTGCATAGATGATCAGTCGTTCACCTTTTTTTTTTAAATTTTTGCATGATTTTCACTTTAAAACCCACACATTTTTTATTAGCTGATGCAAATTAGAATTGCACTGACTTCACAGACTACAGACAAGGTAACAGATTGCTCCACTAAAAAAGTAACAAGCTTTTTCCCCCCAAAGGAAAATTAGCTGCATATGGCAAGAGTAAGATCTGCAACTTTAATAAAAATAAGTCATATTTAGTGAGAGTAAAGTTCCCTCACTCAATGACTTAACAAAGTTTGATTAAAACACTAATAATTATAGTAGAAGCAGCACTAAATAAAAATAATAAGACAAACATCGTCATTATCTATTGATAATGTCTCATGTTGTCAAAGAGATCTTAGACTTTCCCACATCAAAGTGTCACTTCTTTAAAGTCACTGCAAACATCATGTGGAAAATTAATTCCAACATATATATACACTTACTTTAAAGAAAGTTAAAGGTTGGTACAAAAAGCAAGACCTCAAAATTCAGTATTTTACTCATTCACATGGCCTGACAGAAAGACCTGATTCCTAAACTCTGAGATTACACACCCAAGAGCAGAATAAGGACCAGAAGTCACTGCTGTCAGCCTAACCCTGTACAGCAAGGGAAGTGTACCATTACACATGACATTTAGTATCTGGCATAGACCTAATCACTGCAGATCTGAGTTGCCTGTGGTTGAAGTATTCTGAGACATTTAAATCAAATAAACAATAGAAAAAAGAAAAGCCCTGTGGAATAAGGATAATCACATCAGCCTTCATTAGTCTCACAACTCACTTCTCCTACCCATTTCAAAGCTTGAACAAGCTAAATGTGTTCTCACTCAAATGGCATTTTAAAAATGGTCAATATATTTTTGACAAACCAAACACAACCATCATCTTCAGCTGTCACTCCCGCTCCTATTCCAGGAGCTCTTCAGACAAGAGAGTAGGGCAAACAATTGTGTTGTCATTTGCATTCTCACATCACAATTGTGAAGTTTGCAAGTAACATGTGAAATATCAAAATTTCACAGAGCCTTGTAATCCCGAATATATTTTCTGCTGAATGTTCCAAGCTACAGCCCAGACAGACACCAAGCGAGGTGTCCCTGTGGCTGAGATGAAAATCACCAAGCAACACATGCGAGTTGCTGGGCCTGAAAGCAATGAGTTAACAGTGCATGAATCCAAAACACCACAGAGGAACTGCTGCTTCAAAGGAAAGAAGCCTTCACTCCCCACAAGCTGTCATTAAAAGTTACACATTTCTTGTGAGAGCTCCCGTAAGGCCAGCTCATACTCGGGCATACTAAATTTAAAATAACCAAAAGAGTTAATCCACAAGTGCCCCACCAACTTCAAGTGTTCACAGAACTAGAGATGGTGGTGTTACACACTAATAAGCAGCTGTCGTGTTGTTACATTCTGCAGGTGGGTGAAACTGAAGCACAGAGGTGTCATTTTACTACAATTGTTCATCTCTGAGAGGTTCTGAGGTCTGACTGTGACTGAGTTCTGATGGAGAATCAGAGATCACCCAGCTCAAACAAGTTCAGGTTTGCAAACCTGAGGGGAAACTTCACCTTCACAAAGCACAGCAACTACTCACCATCCTCAGCAACCCCACCCATACACTGGCAACCTTAAGCTCAATAGCAGAGCCCCATGAATAAAATCCTGCGATTCCTTCTGAAGGCAGGACCTCAGTGCTGATGCTAAAGCAAGGCCTTACAGCTCTTTTTTCAGTAGAGAATGCTGCAGCAGGTTCACACAGCCAGAACCTCCTCCCTCAAGATGTGCACTGACAAACTGCAGGGAGCTTGTGCTCTGCAGCATGCTTGGAGATCCTCGTGTACCAAGCAAAAAATATCAATTCTCCTCCAACTTATAGCAGCGCTATTACTAAGTTTCAAGTAGCAAAAGTCAGATGGAAGCTCAGCCTTACAAGTAATTAATTTGTAGCAAGTGTTAATTGCTAAGATTTATGTGTTTTCATGTGACTTACTATCATTAGAGAACCCAAACACCAACATTGCATAGAATGGCAAAAGCAGGAACCAATGGTGAATTCAACCATATTAAAGGAGTCACTTCAGCCCTAATTCTCACAGCTGATAAATTGAGTGCTGCTTAGAGAGTTTGTGTCCTTCAACAATCTCTAGAAGTACATTTGATACATATTTCTATTTAATACAGCCCAACAGAATCCAAGTGGGCAAATTTTGTTGGACGTCTTTAGTGGACAAAGGAGGATTTTCACTGTGATAATATCATTCTGTAAGCATTGCTGGAACAAAACAAAACCATCCCTCAGACAGCACATTTCCTTTAAGGGTTGAGAATTCACAATGAGGAAAAACAAATCCAAAGTGAGCATATAGCTTGAAGACTAAAGTTCTTTAAAGGGCTGCTATACTTGCAACATGCTGCATTTCTTCCAGGGATCAGGAACAGGACTTCAGCATATCAGTGATCTCTGTGCCTTGTTTCAACCATGTGCAAATTTCTGCCAGAAGTTAATTCCCTCATTCCTATGAACTCCATTCCAGTCTCTGCATCTGAATCAAACTTTGCTGCACTGGCATTTCACACTAGGAAGGAACTTCACAAATCAAATGAAAACTCAGATCTCTTGTTGTGAATAAATCCCAAAGATCCCATGAATTGTCGGCACCAAGAGGTGCTGTTGGAGCAGCTACAGCCCTGATGTGAGAGGCACTGGGTGTGCTGGGCAAAGGGAGTTATAATAAACTAAATTCAGATGAAACAGCTGTGCCATAACTGCACTGGTAAGTTTGTGCTGATGCACAGCTGTCTCATCTATTAGCAGGAAAATCCCTCCTGGAATCACACTGGGCATGTCCACACGTTCTGCCATTACTCGTAGGTTATGAAAATAACATGGAAAAATTCTTCCCTGCACTTCCAAAGCGTATCTCAGAATTTGTTGCACTTGTGTTATGGAGGGATTTTCTATTTTAATCTTCAACACAGAGCAACTACTTTTTGTTTTAATCTAAAGACATCTGTATTGGAAAAATGATCCAGCCTTGACCAAGGCTGTTGGCAACAAATACTGCTCTTTCTCCTGCAGGCTAATGCTCAAAAACAACAGATTGCCAACAATGAACAACGTTTTGGTACGGTCAGTGACATCTCTGAAAACACGACACAGACCAAAGGGACCTCTATGGAGGTCTTTGCCAAAAAACAAACTCACCTACATTTGAAACAAATTAAAATGGCTTCAAGACAGACTCTGCGTTAGAAGAGCGCGCAGAAACTCCATCCTTTGGAGCGTGCTGACAGCAGGATGCAGAAAAAGACTGACTGACATCATTCACCCCCCCACTCTCTCTGCTAGGATCCATCTCTTCATCTCACCACGTAAAACACGCAATTCTCCCTACGAACAGCTCTCCCCCTGAAACAGAACCTCCCTCCTACCAGCAGCATTGGTTTTGATGACTCCTTTCATTTTTTCCCCTTAAGCACCCAACAGCATCATCTTCCTCTGTGATCTCAGCCCAAAAAGTAAGTACTTGTAAGAAGACACCATCCAACTAAATTAATTTCAATTTTTGCAGCTCCATTACAACACACACACAAAAAAGTGACCCACGCAGGAGTGAGATATGACTAAACCAACATAATGCAATTACCATGGCCTAGCCCAATAAAGATTTTAGAAGCAAAACAGAAACAAAAGCAGTGCTGAACCCATACATTTATGGAAAGACTTGAAGAAAAGATCCTTTTAACGATCTACAGCAAAGTAATTTTAAATTACATCCCTGAGACGAAGACACAAAAACCCCATTAAGTAGCAATTCATAATCAAAATAATATTTGCAGAATAATTTCGGAAAATTATCAAGTGTTACAAGACGAACTGTACTTCAAATGGGATTCAGAGCTTTCAAACTTTAAAATGTCAACAGTAAGTAGGTTTTAAGAGAACAAAGAAATCAAACGCTACCTATTGAAATCCATAAAAATACAAGAGGCCCCAATCCCAGCCAAACCATGTGTCTAGGATGACTCTGAGAGTCTAAATGAATCATCACCTTTCTGGGGGCTTTTTGAGTGCTGTTTTCTCTCTTCTGTGTTATTTTGTTCTTTGGAGTCACTATTTTTAATTCTCCTTTAAGGCAGCTTAAACCTAAAAAAAAAAATAAAAGTAGAACTGAGCCACACAATGGCATATAAGAGAGAAATGAAGAACATAATTGGTTAATACAAAAGCAATAGCTGGGCTAAATACGAAGAGATTTCAAAAATCTGGAAGGAAAGGGGTTATTCATCAAAATCGGGATCTCTCCTGGAAAAGGAGGACACTCTCTCAGGATTCTAAGGAGTTGAAGGGATAATAACGGCAGGACCGCTGCCCTGTCAAGGCAGCTCCTCCAGGGAATGGAAGTAAAGATAAGTGCTAAAGAATGGGACAGGAAGTAACCCAGAAAGCTGAGCTGCTGGGAAACCAAACCTCTCCCTCGCAGGAGTTCACGCTCCAGGAGCCGTCAGCCGCACACACACACACAGGCACACACACACACACACACACAAAAAGCCGGCCAAGCCCCAGCGCACAGCTCCAAGGCCCGGCGGCCGCCAAGGCACCCGGGGCGCCGCCGGGGGCTGGGGACGGGGACCCCTCTCCACGGGCAGCCCCGGGGGCGGCCCGGAGCCCGCCGGGGGAGCGGGCAGGGGCGGCGGAGGGCTGCGCACCCCTTCCCAGGGAAAGCGGCGGGGGCACCCCTCACAACCCCGCACCCGCCGGAGGGGCTGCCCGGTGTGGGCGAGGGGAGGCCATGGGGTCGCGCCCCCCCTCCCCGCGCCGCGAGGGACCCCGGGGCAGCCGGGGTTACCTGCGTGACCCGCGTGCCGGAGCGGGGCGGGCCGGGGGCCCCGGGCGCGGCCGCCCCCCGCGCTGGCGGCGGCGGCGGGCGGGGGGTCGGGGGGGCCGAGCCGAGCGGGGACACTTCGCTCCGGGCCGCCCCCCTCGGCTCGCGGCGGGGTCGGCGGGCGGGGACTGACCCGCGCCGCGGCCAATCCGCGCCCACCGCGCCGGCCCCGCCCCCGCCCGCGCGCCGCTGCCGCGCCGCCATTGGCCGCCGGGCTGACGGCGGGCCCGCCCCCGCCCGCGCGCCGCCGCCGCGCCCCATTGGCCGCCGGGCTGACGGCGGCCCCGCCCCGCGGCCCCGCCCCGCTGCCGTAAAGCTGCGGAGGAGTGGGGGGTGCCTTTGCGACAGGGGGTGGCGGCGGCGGCGATTCCGGCGCTGTGACGGAGGGGAGTTTGGGCCTCGAGGTCCTCCGGGGGCGGGTGAGTGGCGAGCATTGCCTGGCAGTGGCCGCCGGGGAGCGGGGCGGGGACGGGCCCGTGCGCTCCGCGGCTCGGGGTGACTAAGCGGGGCCGCAGGCGTGCGGGTCGGGGGGGCCGAGAGGCGGGGCCTGGAGTGAAACAGGCGGGGCCAGATGATGAGGGGCGGGGCTATGTCGATGTAGGCGTGGTTCAGCTGTTCGGGGGCGGGGCCTTGAGGGGCTGAAGGGGGAGCCCNTAAAGAGGTGAAGAGAAATGGGATTTCTCATTTGAGGGGCCAGCAGTATTCCCCCTGCAAATCTCTGTGAAGACAGTTGGTTGAGGAAAAGCAGACTTCTCAGCTGCTGGGTATATTTGTAATGCAGCATTATAAAAAATTGGCATTGGCTCCATATGTTGCATGTGACTAGCAGAGCTTATTCAAATTAGCTGGTACTAAAGTACATAAGTACTAAAACACACAAAGCAGAAGACAAAGTCAGGCAGCTCCTTTTATCACTTGCACGGTTTCTGTAAATATCCACTCTTCCATCCCACCCCTATGGCAAGCAATGAAATTCAAATGACAAGAATACTTAACCATAACATTAAAGGTTTCAGGATAGTTTTAGGTACACACCAGCTTTGAAAACATTTTTACTTCTGCTCCATAGATCATTTAAGACTCCTGTTTGCAAAGCCCCATTTAAGACATCAATCTCTGAAGAGAAGGAGGACTACTGGAAGTAGCCCTTTGGCATTTAATATTTTATGTTTTGCAACTGTAATCAATCTCATTCAGAACTCAGCATGCATTTGGGTTGTTATATATTGGCTTTCTGCATGCAAGTAAAAAAACGAAAGGAAGCACAGGGGGGGAAAATATACCCATATATTCTTGGTTATAATGATTTTATAGTGCCATGAAAATGGAAGACAACAACAGTTACTTAATTGATTTTGCAAGTACAACAGGATAAACTCAATGTGGTCCTGAATTACCTTATGAGAGGTTGTTACTCTTTGATGGATGTCCCACTCTTCATTGTCTTCACTGTTCATAATCTTCTGTGCCCATGTGTGTCAAACAACCTGCTACCCCTTAAAAAAAGGTATTTCTTGTTAGTTGTAAAGAATAAAAGCGAGAGGTTTACTTACTTCTACTTTATTCTTGTGTGAGAATGCTACATTTTAATGCAGCTCTGTCAGAAAAGACACAAAGTGTGTTTTCTATTATTATCAAAGAGTCCTCCAGAGGTTGGGGTGGGCAGAGTTTGCTTCTGCCATATGAGGAAAAGTCTACAGAGAATATTTTATGGAAGACAAGAGAAATGAGGGATGTGCTTCCTCTCTGGAGTAAACCTTGAAGAAATGGTCTACACCCTTCTCTAATAATTTAGTGTATCTGCTCCTCCTGTATGGAACAAGAATGGATGCAAAGGTTACAGTAGGTATTTCTGCCTCACTGCTCAACATCTCCCTGTGGGAGTCAGATGCCAGGAAAAACATTCAGGCTCCATTTAGTTCTTCCCAAACTACTTTTGCGAGTTTTTTATTTGTTTGTGGGGTTTTTTTAAATTGTTGGTTTTGTATGGGGTTTGTTGTTTGGTTTTTGGTTTTTTTTAATCTCCATTCCCTCTCTGCTTCCCTAAGTAAAGAATAAAACCTTAGCCCATAGAGCATTGAGTTGTGTCCTTCAGCTGGATTTGCAGAGCCACCAGCCTGTCTCCTCTCCCTCATGTGACAGCTCAAGCTGGCACACGCTGTATTTCACAAACAGGTAAAGCCACCTCTACAATACAAAAAAACCACCAGCTCAAAAATCTTTACCCTTTCCTTCATATGGAAAAACGACCCTCTTAGAATCGAGGTTTACCAAATGGCAGTCACAATCCCTGTGCAGATTCCTCCTTCAGACCAATCCCTCCTCATCCCCCCCTGTCACCTGCAGTTAATGGCATCAATCCCAGACCATTTCTCGTGTACTCATCACTGTTATTTCACTAATTCTTTGTACACCTTTATCTGACCTTTCATTTCCTTTGGCTGCAAACTTTTAGTGAAAGGCACCCTTATCTCATTTGAACACTGCAATAATATAACAAACAATAAAACCATTAAATACTTAATTGTACAGCTGATCACACAAACCCAACTGTGACTCGTTTCTTCTGCAAACGACTTGCACCACAACAGTTCCATGAACTCTGCAGCTCTTAGATTAAGTTGAAATTTCTGCCACTTAATGCAACACAAAATCATGCTTTTGCAATGAGAGCTCAAAGAGGAGGATGAAAAAAAAAACCTTTTTATGCACATTTTCCAAGAGCTTTGCTTCCCAAGATAAAGCATACAAGGTCTTCAGATATGCTTACAGCCCTGCACAAAACTGCACTGCCATGACCTAATTTGATCACATTTCTAGCCTTGTTTTTTTGCATAGATGATCAGTCGTTCACCTTTTTTTTTTAAATTTTTGCATGATTTTCACTTTAAAACCCACACATTTTTTATTAGCTGATGCAAATTAGAATTGCACTGACTTCACAGACTACAGACAAGGTAACAGATTGCTCCACTAAAAAAGTAACAAGCTTTTTCCCCCCAAAGGAAAATTAGCTGCATATGGCAAGAGTAAGATCTGCAACTTTAATAAAAATAAGTCATATTTAGTGAGAGTAAAGTTCCCTCACTCAATGACTTAACAAAGTTTGATTAAAACACTAATAATTATAGTAGAAGCAGCACTAAATAAAAATAATAAGACAAACATCGTCATTATCTATTGATAATGTCTCATGTTGTCAAAGAGATCTTAGACTTTCCCACATCAAAGTGTCACTTCTTTAAAGTCACTGCAAACATCATGTGGAAAATTAATTCCAACATATATATACACTTACTTTAAAGAAAGTTAAAGGTTGGTACAAAAAGCAAGACCTCAAAATTCAGTATTTTACTCATTCACATGGCCTGACAGAAAGACCTGATTCCTAAACTCTGAGATTACACACCCAAGAGCAGAATAAGGACCAGAAGTCACTGCTGTCAGCCTAACCCTGTACAGCAAGGGAAGTGTACCATTACACATGACATTTAGTATCTGGCATAGACCTAATCACTGCAGATCTGAGTTGCCTGTGGTTGAAGTATTCTGAGACATTTAAATCAAATAAACAATAGAAAAAAGAAAAGCCCTGTGGAATAAGGATAATCACATCAGCCTTCATTAGTCTCACAACTCACTTCTCCTACCCATTTCAAAGCTTGAACAAGCTAAATGTGTTCTCACTCAAATGGCATTTTTAAAATGGTCAATATATTTTTGACAAACCAAACACAACCATCATCTTCAGCTGTCACTCCCGCTCCTATTCCAGGAGCTCTTCAGACAAGAGAGTAGGGCAAACAATTGTGTTGTCATTTGCATTCTCACATCACAATTGTGAAGTTTGCAAGTAACATGTGAAATATCAAAATTTCACAGAGCCTTGTAATCCCGAATATATTTTCTGCTGAATGTTCCAAGCTACAGCCCAGACAGACACCAAGCGAGGTGTCCCTGTGGCTGAGATGAAAATCACCAAGCAACACATGCGAGTTGCTGGGCCTGAAAGCAATGAGTTAACAGTGCATGAATCCAAAACACCACAGAGGAACTGCTGCTTCAAAGGAAAGAAGCCTTCACTCCCCACAAGCTGTCATTAAAAGTTACACATTTCTTGTGAGAGCTCCCGTAAGGCCAGCTCATACTCGGGCATACTAAATTTAAAATAACCAAAAGAGTTAATCCACAAGTGCCCCACCAACTTCAAGTGTTCACAGAACTAGAGATGGTGGTGTTACACACTAATAAGCAGCTGTCGTGTTGTTACATTCTGCAGGTGGGTGAAACTGAAGCACAGAGGTGTCATTTTACTACAATTGTTCATCTCTGAGAGGTTCTGAGGTCTGACTGTGACTGAGTTCTGATGGAGAATCAGAGATCACCCAGCTCAAACAAGTTCAGGTTTGCAAACCTGAGGGGAAACTTCACCTTCACAAAGCACAGCAACTACTCACCATCCTCAGCAACCCCACCCATACACTGGCAACCTTAAGCTCAATAGCAGAGCCCCATGAATAAAATCCTGCGATTCCTTCTGAAGGCAGGACCTCAGTGCTGATGCTAAAGCAAGGCCTTACAGCTCTTTTTTCAGTAGAGAATGCTGCAGCAGGTTCACACAGCCAGAACCTCCTCCCTCAAGATGTGCACTGACAAACTGCAGGGAGCTTGTGCTCTGCAGCATGCTTGGAGATCCTCGTGTACCAAGCAAAAAATATCAATTCTCCTCCAACTTATAGCAGCGCTATTACTAAGTTTCAAGTAGCAAAAGTCAGATGGAAGCTCAGCCTTACAAGTAATTAATTTGTAGCAAGTGTTAATTGCTAAGATTTATGTGTTTTCATGTGACTTACTATCATTAGAGAACCCAAACACCAACATTGCATAGAATGGCAAAAGCAGGAACCAATGGTGAATTCAACCATATTAAAGGAGTCACTTCAGCCCTAATTCTCACAGCTGATAAATTGAGTGCTGCTTAGAGAGTTTGTGTCCTTCAACAATCTCTAGAAGTACATTTGATACATATTTCTATTTAATACAGCCCAACAGAATCCAAGTGGGCAAATTTTGTTGGACGTCTTTAGTGGACAAAGGAGGATTTTCACTGTGATAATATCATTCTGTAAGCATTGCTGGAACAAAACAAAACCATCCCTCAGACAGCACATTTCCTTTAAGGGTTGAGAATTCACAATGAGGAAAAACAAATCCAAAGTGAGCATATAGCCTGAAGACTAAAGTTCTTTAAAGGGCTGCTATACTTGCAACATGCTGCATTTCTTCCAGGGATCAGGAACAGGACTTCAGCATATCAGTGATCTCTGTGCCTTGTTTCAACCATGTGCAAATTTCTGCCAGAAGTTAATTCCCTCATTCCTATGAACTCCATTCCAGTCTCTGCATCTGAATCAAACTTTGCTGCACTGGCATTTCACACTAGGAAGGAACTTCACAAATCAAATGAAAACTCAGATCTCTTGTTGTGAATAAATCCCAAAGATCCCATGAATTGTCGGCACCAAGAGGTGCTGTTGGAGCAGCTACAGCCCTGATGTGAGAGGCACTGGGTGTGCTGGGCAAAGGGAGTTATAATAAACTAAATTCAGATGAAACAGCTGTGCCATAACTGCACTGGTAAGTTTGTGCTGATGCACAGCTGTCTCACCTATTAGCAGGAAAATCCCTCCTGGAATCACACTGGGCATGTCCACACGTTCTGCCATTACTCGTAGGTTATGAAAATAACATGGAAAAATTCTTCCCTGCACTTCCAAAGCGTATCTCAGAATTTGTTGCACTTGTGTTACGGAGGGATTTTCTATTTTAATCTTCAACACAGAGCAACTACTTTTTGTTTTAATCTAAAGACATCTGTATTGGAAAAATGATCCAGCCTTGACCAAGGCTGTTGGCAACAAATACTGCTCTTTCTCCTGCAGGCTAATGCTCAAAAACAACAGATTGCCAACAATGAACAACGTTTTGGTACGGTCAGTGACATCTCTGAAAACACGACACAGACCAAAGGGACCTCTATGGAGGTCTTTGCCAAAAAACAAACTCACCTACATTTGAAACAAATTAAAATGGCTTCAAGACAGACTCTGCGTTAGAGGAGCGCGCAGAAACTCCATCCTTTGGAGCGTGCTGACAGCAGGATGCAGAAAAAGACTGACTGACATCATTCACCCCCCCACTCTCTCTGCTAGGATCCATCTCTTCATCTCACCACGTAAAACACGCAATTCTCCCTACGAACAGCTCTCCCCCTGAAACAGAACCTC